AAGTCCCGCAATAAATTGTCGCCGAGGTATCAATAACCCCCTCCCCTCCCTACCCCCGATACCGCGCCTCGTAAGCGCCAGGTTAATAGTCGTAACGCGCGCAACCGCTTCGACTCGCTTCTCCGCCTCTCCCCCCAGTTGGTCGACTTTGAATAACGATCCGTGACGAATTCGGCGGACGCGGCCCCACACCTGAACTGTCTTACCGACTGGTATTCATCCGACAGCCGTGTTGCATTTACATGAGACGCTAGATACAGCGACAGGAGGACCACCCCGCGGGGGTGGTGTGTACGTCAATGGGGAAGAGATGTAACCAACCAGGCTAGAAAAGCGTGAAAATTTCGGAACTCCGGTACTAACGCCGTAGGTGGTCGTCCCCTTTCTTTTTTCTTTTTTTTTCTTTTTCTTCAAGGATACGTTTCACCTCCATTGTTTCACGGCGAGTTTTCCACGGTGCAAGCGCCCGGTTGAGCGCCCGATGAACCGCGCGCGCTGCGCGCAATTCATCAAAACCGGTGCCGAGGTAGAAGTAACGCTTTCGAGTATCGAGTACCGTAGCTAAGGATTAAACCGATAACGATCGCCGACCACGGTATATACGCTTCGGCTCCACGTGTCCGACGTAATTAATTGCGTCGACGTCTTTATAGTGATACGCGCGTATTCCCTCGCCGCAGCAATTTTTACGCCAATGGCGCTCGCCGGGGCAATTTAACGTGATCTATCGACGCTGGAAATGGTTAGATAGACATTCCTTTCCTTTAAGTATCATGCTATGTAATGTAGTAATTATTAATATTGTTCCGTGATTTATATTCGCAAATCTATCGGAGATAAATAATTTTCTAAGCGCGCAACGGATTTAATATTAATATACTTTAACATATCGCGTGTGCAATTTACCCAGTTGGAGGGAAAAAGTTGAAAAGAAGTTTCAACGTATCTCGTTAACATGATATTTACAAGTCCGTATGGCTTAAGGCTCATCCCTACCAGAACCCATCGGCATACTGACTTCTTCTTCTTTATAAAGAATGAAGAGGAAAGAGGAAAAGAAGCCAATAGTATGGAAATGCGTTTTTAGCTTGGACGTTTATGGTAGAATTTTCATTATTAAACATATAATGATAAAATAATGTTGTGCTTCTTCATTGAAAATAAAAAGTTAACTGTTAAATAACGCACTTTTCATTTTACACCATTATTTAGTCAATTCAAAATGAGTTATATAATATATAATCTACTGTGTGTGGATGACTTTTACTTTTTCCAAATATTTTAATGGCGCATATCGAATATCGATCATTAGGATGCCATTGAAAAATGAAGTAGTCACAGAAAGGCTACTATGGAAGTTAACATTTTTCCACTTACTTTGTCGCTCACGTCTTATTCTTCTGTGACAAGTCCCTAAAAAAATGATCATTACTCTTTATTCTTGGAAATCGGGTTCTATTATTGTCACAAATGATTCAGCACTTTCATTTCAAAGGCTTCGTATAATCTATTCACAATTCATCGTGAATTATGTCCGTCTTAAAAATACCTTTTTCGAATACTGAAAAGCATAACAATTCGAAAGACTAGATAAATGTGCATTTTTTGTAATCGTGAAGATAATTTCATAGTTCTTCTTCGAAGAACCATCGCTAGTTAAGCCGAAGAGAATCCGTCATAATGGATCGCGATCGACATGTAAAATTGCACATTTCAGGCCCATCTCTCATCATTCATTATACGTATGCCGATGCGAGATCTAAGGCTGCTATCATCGATTTTGAAAATAATCCGTACGATCGGAACGACGGTCGGCATCTCTTCGCGTCAGTCGAAGAGAGGCAGCCGCGACGCCGGCTCTGGTCAGGATCGGCGTGAACCATTTACGCAAATAAAAACGTATAATTCCGCGTTTAACGTATAATACGCTTTTAAGACCGCGCTATGCATCACACCCATATCCGGTCTCCCGTTTCCGGTCGCGAAAAGCACCGAGTTCTACGAGGCTGTGGATGGAGCTCGTGAAGCTGAAACGAGGAGACAGAAAGAGAGAGAGAGAGAGAGAGAGAGAGAAGGGTGCGAAAAAGAAAGAAAAAAAGAATAGAAACGAAACTCGCAAACACACACGCGGCGATAATGTTCGGCAACCAGCCGGCCCGGCAGATCTGCACGGGTAAATACGGACACGCCCGTCGCAATTACACGAGTGCCTGCAAGTATAATGAGGCATGCGTTTCATTGTGATTTATGCAACGGCTGGAGTCCCGTTTGTGTGTGTGTGTCGAGGGGCTACCTTTCTCTCTCTCTCTCTCTCTCTCTCTCTCTCTCTCTCTCTTAGCGCAACAGGAATTCACGAGGAATAGGCATGCGAAATCGAAGCACACAAAAACCCAACGTTGGAATCATCGGGATATAATCAGTTAGTCTTCGATACTAATAAAGAGCTTAGATTGGAGCTTAGTTCGTATCTTATTATCACTTCGTTTATTTAGATAAGAACAAGTCGCGAAATCGTTTAGTCTCTTTACACTTGATATACGTGATCTTTGATAAATCAATGAATTAAAAAAAAAATCACAGGAGACAGCTCTTTTGGGAGCGATTATCTTTAATTCGATTCTGTCGAATATCTTAGCCTTCAATTGCAGTTAAACGTAAGTAATTTAATTATTAACGTACAACGCACAATGCTCGGTCGTTTCGCAAAAGATCAAAGAAATAATACATAATGTACCTCTCTCGGATATATTCCACGCGCACTATAATTAGATGTAAATTTGCCGCCCACTTGTCTTGATTGATTCGCAAATGTCGTATAATGGAGCGCTAGGAAGGTCAATTTGTTGGTCGCGCGTTAAATATGCAATCTCTCGGAGATCATCGCGCCGGTTGAAACCTCTTCGAACGAGGAGGTTTCGCATTACCAGCGACTTGCGCGTGGCAATCGTCGCGACGCGGAGAGAGATATTAACCATAAGGGATTGTAAATATCAATGCGTAATAAATTACGCTGAATAGGCAAGATTATAGGCGGCCGGCCGGTGATTTAGCGATGATTTTTGCACTCGGCCTCGTAATACTCTATCATTAATATTTTTTTCTTCCCCTCTGTCCGCCGTTCATGCGCGTCGAAATAATAATATTTTTGGTGCAGTTGGTCGCAAAATTGCAAGCGGTTAATACGACGCGAAAGTCTCCTCTATATGGGTGCATATATATATATATATATACCGTACTTGGCGTCGCCCCGGAATGACTTCTCCGATGTCTTCGCAGAAACGCGCTTTACAAAAAACGTAAACGTAATGGAAATTGTATATTATTCAGTACTTTGACGTTTCGCTTGTACCATAATTTCTTGCGCACGTTTATGGATGTCGGCGACTATTAGAGCCGTACGCTTGACTCAACTATAATGTCTCATTCTGCGTAAAAATACTGGTAATTGTAGACGAGGCACGTCGCGAGTGTCTATCAGCTTTCAAACAACTAAATGAATTTGAAAAATGGCAAAACAATCTTTTCACGTGTACCGAATCCTTGTCGGATCAGAGTGAACACTGACCGAGGTATCTTCCATTTCATAAATACAAGCAATAATGTAAATAATTATTACGAACGTGACGTATCGATCGGATAGTCCCAATGTTGAGACGGACATGTAATGGACGAGAAATGATGAATTGATAGTAAGCAGCGTTCATAAATCCGCGCTCTTATCTTACATCACGTCGTTAATTCTGCATCGACAAATACAGGCGCAACAGCCATTCCCTGTGTATCTTAAGCGATAAATTGATCGACCTAAACAACTCGTCAAAATGCTGACGCATGACCCGCCCGACGTGACAGGCGTCATGGACCTTGCGTGTCCCGTTCAGCCGGTTTAATACTATTCGGTTACATGTATTATTCAATCAGCCAATAAGAAGGAAAACACGCGATTTATGCGATCCGCGCGCAGGCGAGAGCGGAGCTAGGGATCTCAGTTTTGGGTGGACAAGTCGCGCATGAATCATCTTCGTTCCTCGACTACGAATATAGACGTTCGAATAGTAGCTAATAAAATAGTCAACGGTCATTTTTTTCCAAACAAATTAATTAAGTTGAATCGACTTTTAAATTTTTGCTAAAATTTCACTAAAAACTGTAGACAAGTTGAAATGAAATTTTTTTCGAAAATGATTATTAATACAACGTATTAATATAACATCTTTTTATAACACAGCTAATTACGCTGTACTGTACGCCGTATGTGCAACTTCTTTGATTATTTGAGGTATAATATTGTAGAATTTTTCGCTGACATTTGGCGTTAGATAGCACAAGAATTTATAAGAAATATAGAGAAGGTGAGATATCTGCTTTGTTGGGTACAATTGAAATTTTCTATCGTGAGCAAAAAAAAAGAAATCGACGAAGTGATAACTCTCGCGTTCACAGAAAATATCCGTGATCATATCCGCCTATCAACGTGTGGTCTGGTTGTCAGTTGGAAGTCCGATCGTGAATAGCGCCGTCGTAATAACAAGCTCTTTACATTCCAGATTACACGTGCAGCTTGGAATGGCGGGCGGCTTATAAGCGCTATAAAGCGATAAAAGTCGATTTGCCTGCTGTACACCTAGGCAGTGATATATCGCTACTTAACGCCCGCGTAACGTAAACTGGACAACGCACCTGACAATTCTGAGTTTTATATTATATCAGACTTTTTTTCCTCTTTCGTTATTTTTTTTTCTTTTTTTCTTTTTTTTTCGAAAAAGATCATCAATTGATGTTTCTTTCAAAAAGTCAAATTTATGAGAGACAGTATCTAAAGGTTCGTCTTCACTGAAGCCGACCGAACTCCTTTTCTTTCCTTTATAAAGAACAAAAAGTGCCGAAAACGTGCCGATTGGCATGATTATAATATCTTCAATGGAGACAAGTTTTAAATAGATAGAACAAGTAACAATAACACGTTGATAAGTTTCATTAAAGAGATTATGGTTTAAAACCTATTTTCACTTGTGCTCGATACTGTCGAAGTGTCACTGACGTTAGAATCGACCATTTTCGAACTGCACGGTTGATTAGATGCAACAAAAATCATGCTCTTTTTTCTGCAAGCCCCCGCGCTGCATTCCATTAACGTACTGCTGCATTTTTTCAGGTCGCACTTGAATCCCAATGCTCGCTTTGGCCTGGAGCCGACATACAAGGACCTCACTCTCGCTATGGTACGCTTCGTTGTCTTTTTAAAAAATGGCAAGGTGCTCTGTTGGAAGTTGGCTATTGAGTTCTCTTCGACTTGTGCAAAAATATTCCGAGAAGAGAAACAAAAAAAAAGACCTGAAACTTCCTCGACGTTTCTTTCATTTTCGTTTTTAGTTGTGCGAACAGTGGCATTTCCCCCGTGGGCTTTGTCTCGGGCTTCTTTTGACGATAAGATGATTCACGCAACATTTGCGGTTTATCTGACGTTTGAGGTCTGAAAAATATATGCAAAATGTGTAATTGACATTAGTATGGCCGGACCGCCTTCGAGCAAAATGTGCGAAGATGTAGCTTCTATGTAGAAAACTATTCATTAAATGCTCTGGATATATACATGCACAAATATCTTCGACAATGTCCACGATATTCCTCAATACTGTAATATTTAAAACTATTATACACATGTAGTTGCGTATTTAATTAAGAATTGCGCATTAAATAAATATCGATATCAAATGTTACAGATATATTCAATTAACATTGTGTATATAAATAATTGAAAAGTTGATTAATCTAAATGTTAACTTAACTGATTTCTTTATCTGTCTATCAAAATTATAAAATTTTCGAAGGAAATATTAATTAAACAAAAGTCGAAAGTAAAACAAATTATTAAACAAACGCCATATGTACCTATTTGAGCTGTTTTCTCTATACTTCGTACATGATTTTGAACATTTGCCTTTAAAGGAAGATGGCTTAATTTTCTTCGTGGACTTGCAGAATTCTAATTGTCCCTTGTCAACTACTGATGTATCATTTTTTCTTTTCAGGGACACTTCAAATTCCAAAGTCAAGATATAAGTAGATCCATTAAGAAATGTCGGATCTTTATCTTTCTCTTCCATTCTGAATTTTAAAGTCTTTCTTCAAATTCTATTGTTAGTCTTTCGCGTTGACTTGTAAGTTTTGATTAAACTTCTCTCAACTGTCCGAATCTTTTTCTTCATCGACGCATTGTTTTTTGCTTTCGATCATATCGATCTATCATTAATCAATCAGAACCGTTATATAAATATTGTCTTTATGTGCTATTGAATTGATATATAATCGGGAAATTATTTGTAAAGTTTAATTTCATATCTAACTCACTTCTACACGATATAGTCGGAGTGGAAGCTGCAGATGCAGATCTCATTATTGCACATTCACGAAGAATCACGGTGGTCGTTGAGCCCATTTTTAATTTATCGCCAATAGTACAAGTTGGACTCCTCGCTATTATAAGGACTTTAGTCATATCAAGTGTCTAAATCGCGTGTAAATTTAGAGTGTAAATTGGTTTCTCTTTTTTTTGCATTTATTAGGTTTATAAAATTTATGACAAATAATCGTATAGATAAACGATAATCTGATTCAACCTGGTTATCACTATTCGTAGATCGCGTGCATACATTTCGGAATCTTTTCGCTAGATTCCTGCAGAACTTAACAATTCTGTAATATATGGTCGAAATTATGAAATATTTTGATAATAGTAAAGTCACTTTGTAAACATAGACAAGAAGTCAGCAAACTAAAATTTGATAGTTGAATGTTGTGAAACTCGATAAGTACAATCGATATATTATATTTCAAAGCATCCCGAATAACATTAAATAACGACAAAATGCAGACGTAATCACATAGTGGAAGTACCTCTATGATGTAAGTACGTAATCACATTTTGCATTGGTTGCGTTCAGCAGACTCAACTATTGTGGAACGGATTCATAAGCATTCGTTGCTATTCTTTGAGATCATCTAATAACAGTGAGAGCTCACGGATCCGTTAAAGTTCTAGATATACCAAAGTAGCGTGAAAGTCCTCCATTTTCAACCTAATCATATCATGTACTAATAATACTAACTGCTTATTGAACTACATGCTATTGGGTAAAAAATAGCGATCGAAATAGCCAATAGGAAAGCTGTTGGTATTTCGGCTTAGATAAAAAGAGTGCGCTACTTTGATATATCTAAAGTTTTACGCTCCGCGACAATGAAGTCTGCTGAACGCAACCATTTGAAAACTTTTTTTTTTTAAATAAGTTTTTTTAAATAAGTTTATAACAATTTTATTTTTCAAATAAATCTATTAATACAAAATCGGTACGTAGGATTTATTTATATCTTATGTACTGAATATACGACATTAATTTCTGCTTTTAGTTTTGGAATTTTTTCTCAAAGGAAGTTTTGTTGGGAAATAGCGAACACTTTTTTCAATGATCGCCTTCACTCTCGGTTTATGACTTGACACATTTCTGGACGGAATCTCCTACAGAATAATTAACAGAATTAATAGATGTGTTAAAAGATAAGATTTACAAAGAAGTTTTATATACCGTATTTAAATCCACGTTTGATTCAAAATCGCTCATGATATGATTCTTCTTTTCGCTATTTGCGCTACTAAATGTCTCCTGAGGTATTATTGGATCTTCGAATGTGATCTGCGTGTCCAGACCATATGGTATGTCTCTCGGTGGCATAACTGAAAGTCATATGTTAAAAACGTAATTTTCTCGGGAATAATATTACTAGCAATTTTTTAATAATTCTATTCTTTTATCGACTTAGTATTAAATATATGTATACTAAAATATAATTAAAGTAATATATAATATATACCACATAGTATATTACACATTACGTGTGTGTGTATACATATATGTATACATATATATATATACACAATGTATCTAAGTATATATAAGTATAGAATAAGTCAACCTGATAGAAAGACTGATTTTTTTTTAACTGATGAATTCATTAAGAATTCATACTGATGAATTATTTTCTTATTTTTAGACATTCCTAATTTTCAAATATTATTCAATTTAGACAAAGCGTGCTAAATCAATTGAAATAAATGATAATCTAAAGGCGCTACATGTGTATGCTGAATACGGTAAATTTCGAAGAGGATTGTATTCTGTATATATGTATAGTTATCGACGGTTGTTGATAATCGTGTACAAAATACAGATTCACCCAGGGGCGTATTTTCGTTATGCAACCACTAAGTCTATGTTCGTCTTCTGACCCTAAAGACAAAAATAGCTTTAGTCGCGGTCGTTTCTAACAGAACTATGCCTCAAGTTACTGCGCACACTTAAAAGAACAAAGGAAAAACAGATAATAAGAATTTCAACTTTAAACTATTAAAAACTATATACCTAAAATATACAGTTTCTGAGAAATTCTTGACATTCTTTTTCTCATCCCTATTTATATCTTTGACTCCCTCATTCCTTTGATTGTGCGTACAATAATATATCTTTGAACTTTGTCACAAAAAGCCGCCTTACGGTGTTCAGCATGATGGAATGAGAAACGTTCCGCAGATTATACAGTGACATGCCGATAGCGTTTGATTGGTCAAAATTCTTGTTGCATCATGCGCAACAGGCCTGTTTCTTTTCTTGGAAAGAAAAGGAAGAAAGGTGAACTAGTGCAAAAGTTCAACCAAAAAGAACAGACCTAACGCTTCACCGTTCTGATTCCATCATGCTCAGTGTAGTGAAATTGTCCGAAGTGTTCGGTGCAGTAAAACTGTCCGTTATAACTGTACATTATTATAACCTAAAATATTTTACCGCATTTGACATATATACATAGGTACATAAATTATCATTAGTTTCGGTTACGCGCTTTTTAAATTGAACAATGTTTGGAAATGTTAAAGAAAAGAGAAAATTTGCTTAAATTTATTAAGTAAAAATATGTTTTTCTATAAAATTGGCATCTGTAACTTGCCTAAAATATAAAGAAGAAATGGAAGAAGTTAAAAGATAATAGGGATTACTAACCTCATGATTGAATTATGTCAGTATGTTTCGACAATAATAAATATTGAATTTCAAAATATTGAATAAAAGAAACAGTGGATTATTCATTTATACATCTAATATATAATAATTCTGTCTGTGTTTTACTGTTTGATGTATCAATCCTCTTCTCTTTATCTTCATACTGTATATTACCATGTATTTCTTCGAATCTATGTGATGTTTCTGGTATTTTCTGCTCGTAGCTTCCATCTTCTTGTGCTTCAGTCCAAAATTCGGAAGCAACAATATTCTGTTCATTTATAGCAGCTCTTTTAATGTATCGTTGAATCGGTTCACTGTTGGTACTTGAAAAATTATATTTTTTTAAATATTTTTTCAAAATCTTTTTATACTTGTACGTATTAAAATTTTCTGAATTCTATAACCACAAATAATTTTGATTTTATACGGCTATATGGCAAGAATATAATTATCATAAGCTATACTAATTTAATTTATATTTAATATCAAGATGTAATTTAAAAGATCTAAATATAATATAGATATAAATATAATTTTAAAGGCATAAGTCCGTATTTACTCCATTTTTATCGGTATATGCGCACTTATTTCTGAAATTCTATAATATATGCATGCATTTATCGATAAGAATAAAGTATGAATACGGATCAGAAGATTTACGTTGTAACTTCAATTAATGCTGATTTCGTATCAAGACTATAATGTGGAGTTGTGTAAGAGTTCGCATATTCATCCATGTGCTCCATTCGGTGATTCGTATGCTGCTCAGTTTGCTTTCCCTTATTCGTCCATTCTCTTGGAGAAGTTCCGAATCTGGGGCCAGTAGTCTTACTTTTTTCTTTCGGCGTTGATGTCACAAAACGACGTGGAACCTACCGAAAGAAATTATTTGCAAATATATGCTTTCATTTATTAATAAATCACTGTAAAGAGTTCTTCGTATTACTGATTTATCAATTAGTAGTATACTTTATCCATTTTTTTAAAACAAGAAATTAAGGAAGAATACCTCGTCTGTACCTTCTTCAAGCAACATTAAAGTAACTGATGATCCATCTAAAACCCCATGAAGATGTGGTAATTTTTGTTGACAACAATTGATCGGACGATTTTTTAAAATTTTCCACCAGGAATTTTCGTCCTCCAAAAATGTCTTTATCTTTTCCATTTCTCTTAAGCAAGTCATGATTGTATTATGTGCATCTTTTAGATCATTAATCTTGTTGTCTGGGAACGGTTCTAATAAACTTTCCTGTTGAAACATATTTCAAATTTGGAAGAAATTACCGTGTATAAATAAACGAATAAATAATAATTAAATAATAAAAGTACTTAATTATTCAAGACTCACTCCTTTACTTACTACAATCGAGTAATCAGAAAAACAATGTGAAAACAAAGAGTTATAGGCGTATATAATTCAATCCATCTATTCTCCATTTATCATACTTGTTTAATGTTTGTTGTTAATAAATTACCGTTTCATCATGATAGTTTAACCCATCAAGATCTTGAGCATTTCTCTTTAGTCCTTGAATTTTGTTTACGACACGATCGTAGGAATATGATTTAAATTCGTATTTCAAATCCGTGCCGACTTTCGCATTACATCTCCTTGGTTCGCAGTACTCTCTTCGTCTCGTGACAGGCGATTTATAACGGCTTTCCAAAGTGCGTGGATTGAAAGCAGCCGGTGGAGTAAGGTGAGTGCAAATGCATGGAGGTTCCTGAAAAGCAAAATATTATATTTCGAAAGAATGTACTTTGTCAGACATATCCTCACGATATAATGCGTGACTGTATTTTTTCTAGTGATTAAAAATTTTTGTCAAAAGTTATTTTTAAAAGATTAAGTATAAAAAAAACGAATATTTAAAAATTGAAATATAATTTAACACACATATGAAAGAGAAAAATAGGTTATATACCATTTAGACAAGAAATTATATTATATTTTCTGTATTTTAATATTAATAATAATCGTAAGCCATGTTGCATTCGGACATATTCTTGAGCTACAGAATGTATTCAAATTTACATATCTTGTTCTCATTCTGGAATACTTATTGATATTTTACATTATCTTGGAATTTAAAATTATGAAATATACACACACGCACACACACACATACAAGTTCGATAAAAAAAGACTAGATGTGAAGTGGGACAACGTTGTTTTTGTAAAAAGATAAAACTTCAAGTCGTTGATATAAAATAAAGAATAGGACAATTTATAATTTTTAGTTTTTAATTTAATGTTTTTTTTTTCTTTTTTTAGTTTCCGAGTAACTTACTTGACGATGTAAAAATTTCATATACCATTTTCATTACAAAATATGCTACACATTTATAATGCCTGAAAAGAATTACGAGAATTATTTGTATAATTATTATATATTATTACGGAATATAAATTTAATTCCAGAATGCGTCGTAGCCAAGTGAAACTTAATTGCAGATTTCTATCGCTAAAGTAAAAAAGAGGTAGCATTGTCTCGCCTTTTTTTTTTTTTTCATCAGTGATCTCCAACAGCGAACGGTGACTCTCTAGCGCGAATAATCCCTTCTTTGAAAAATGATGCAGCCGGCTCATGTGGCTACTAAAAAATGAAATGGCATTTGTATCACTGCGACGTTTATCCTGAAAACGGACTTTGTGCGTCCACTTCGATGTCATGCTTACACGCTTCTTTTCGCGACACAATAAA